AGGTCGGGCGGCCGCGCACCAGAAACAGATCTGCCAGAATGGCAAGGATGGTAAGACCAACCTGTCTGACCAGAAGCGTCCGTTTCCACAATGCGAATGGAACCTCCTTTTGCCAATTCGTTCCAACGCCCGCACTCCGGCGACTTGCGTCCCCAATTGCTAAGTTGATCGGCGAAGTTGTGCAGGACGCGCCTTGGCGGAATGGCCAAAGCGTTCAATCCCCAAGTGAGGCTTCTTGCGGCTGAGTTCCGTCAGATGCACTGCAGGGTTTGCCTTGGGGCACTTACTCCAAAGGGAATATACCCCCGCCGCGTTCAGATCCGACCAGATCGGGTGCAAGCGACGCCGCGCCTGTGGATATAACTCCCCGAGGTGGGATATCAAGCCGGCTGCAGAAGTTACGTCTTTGGCCCGAAGGTTGCGTTCATTGTCAAGCGCGAGGATATCAACAATGGCACGACATGTTTTGTCGCACTCTTCTTGTGGCACGGTGACCACTTGCTCGACAGAATCGAAAATCCAGCCGATCCAACATTGACGCGTGCTGGGCTGCCGAATGCCAGTCGGCTTGCCGCTCACTGGAATCCCGACCTCGGCAAAGAAAGCGACAGCTGATTCCAAACGTGACCACGCCAATTCTTCTGACTCGCCCACGCCAAACAAATCGTCGACGAAATCGAGCAGGTCAACCCCCCGCGAAAGCCGGAGAAGACGAAGAAGTTCCTTCATGCTTGAATCGTTGAACCCAGGCGCTGGTGCAAGACCAAACGGGAGAAACTCGTAACGCCCATATTGCTGCCGGGCTGGACAGTAAAAACCCAGCAAATCTGCGTCGTCTGGGTGGACACGCCAGTTGCAAAACAAATCTTGAAGGTCAATAACGAACATGTAGCTGCCGCGGCGAAGACGCGACACAGCCGCAAGCGACCCCGACCTGGGGAAGCCGCTCGTTCACGCGGCCCCGCCGCAAGTCAAGAATCAAGCGTGCTTTCCAACGGTCAACCTCTGGCGCTGCGTCGCCGACGCCTTCCCGCGGCTTCAGCAGCAGAGCGCACGGATTAACATTCAAGCGTGCGGGTATCTTCGTCCCTGGCGGGAACATGAAGATCTTACCAAGACGTTCCAGACGGCTCCACTCAACGATGGCCCAGGTATCGTGCTCTGTGAGGGAAGGATGATTTGGCGTCTTTGTGGGTGCTGCTGCCGTGGCGCCCAGTGGCTGACCGTGGAGCCACTTGTTGAGGAAATCTGGAGTGGCGCCAAGGTGCTTCAGCTTGTCCAACTTCAGCGTGAGACCTCGGATGCCTTGCCACCATGAGAGGTTGTCGTTGGCTTGGCGGACTTGCGCACGTAGTTGCGAAAATCTGTCCGTCATTCAGCCTGGCGTGATCGAACCAGCTGCACATTCGAGCCCAAATGACTACACACGCGATGGCGTTGCCTGCAAAGCGATAGCGGCAGGGTAGCACCACCCTGCCAGCACAGAATCTCTGAACCTATTGGGCAAGTACACGACGAAGGACGATTCCTTCAACTGGCCATAGGGACAAGCACTCTCTCTGTCGACAACACCTTCGCAGAAAAGGGGAACGCGACGCGGCGCTGAAGGCGAGGTGCTGTTTAGGGAAAAACAGAAGACACCCCCCGCCTCCCATCCCCGTCTGCGACCTGAGTGCACCACCCAGGCCGGCAGACGGCGCCATAGGGGCACGTGCGTACAGACAGGGAAGAGCCCACACAGTCGACAGCACTGCCGATGGCCTTGTTAGACCCGCGTGGCCATGCTTCGAATAGTTTCGCCTGAATGCACCGTCCAGGCTCGCAAACGGTGTCGTAGGATACAACCGTGCGGACTGTTTATCATAGCCTGCGGCGCAGGAACCGGACCTCCGCGGAACGACTCTCCAGCAATGGCCAGTCCTTCCGACTGAATATCTTCGTGTGAAAGCACTTGCCAGAAATGGCTGCGCGCCGGCGGCGCGCGACGCGCGACCGGCGCTGGAGGCGAGTTGCTGTTTATGGAAAGAGCAGAAGAACCCTTCCGCCCCCTATCCCCCTTGCGACCTGAATGCGCCATCCAGGCGAGCAGAGGGCGTCATAGGGGCGCGGCCGTACAGACAACCGGGAGACCCCACCGCCGAACTGGGCATCTCCGCTCAGTGTTTGCATCTGCGGCGGCAGTGTCCACATCAATCCGCGGGCGCGCGGCGTCTGCTACGACCCTGTCTGAAATCTTTATCTATTCCAGTTCACGCCCACGGCTGCGCCCACACATTCGCCGTCGAGTCACCCAGAGAAGATGGAGGGGCACTGAATGATGGATGGTAGAGCGCCCGTTTTGGGCGATGCTGTCCTCCTGGACGATTCGCGGGAAGGCTTACGCACGTTCCCCGCTACTTGCAGCTCTCGGCGGTGGACTGCAGCTCAGCAGAATAGCTGATTACAGCCAGCCTCGAGAAATCATCCGACCTGGACGGCCGACTTGCGAATTCCGAAATCGATAAAATCCCGCCGGAATCTGCATCAATGTTTAGCCTCCTGGGCCAGATTTCCACATGCCGCACCATAATTGAATTCTGAGTACGCTAGTGAAATGGCGTCAGCATGGACTTTAGACCACGTGCGCCATCGGACGCAGGGTCTCGGGGTCGGTCGGGGGCGGGCAAACACCCCCGCCCCCGTTGTGTGCAGGTGGGGGTTTAGCCAATGCCCCCCCATCAAGGACTAGCTTCTGCCGCCTGCACACATCCGACCCCGAGAACCCCAATTTGGGCGGAGCACAACATTCGCAAGGCCCAAATGGCACAAACTGCCATCCATCTTCCACGCACTGACAGTTTCAGCGCTGAAATCTAGTCGCGCGCGCCGGAATGCGCGGATTCGCGCTCCATGTGCAATTCTCTGTTGGCGCACCCCAGAAAGCCCAGATTAGAGCTGCAAATGCAACTCTGGGCGCCACTCCGCGGATCCACGCACAGACTGCGCATCTGAGGACGGTAGCGCCAGAATGCGCGACCTGCGCGTCGGAATGCGAATTTGGGCCCGCCAGGGCCAGAACACGCGCAGTAGCGCTCCGAATGCAAGTCTGGGCCGGTCGCGCTTTCCGAATGCACATCTGGCCTCGCTTGCCCGTGCCATTCCGGGCGCGCTGGCGCCAGAAAGCCGGCAGACAGCCGACAGGCTGTTGCTGGGGGGCGCGCTGGCGCAGCGCCACGGAGCCGCCCCAGGAGGCACGCAGGCGCGACTCCAGCTAGAGAGCCTCGGGCGCCGCTCCTGTTTGGGAGCACACAGGCGCAGCTCCTTTCAGGGAGCTCGGCCTGTCAGGAAGCACAGGAAGGAGCTCTGGGGGGCAACATTGCGCCGAGGGGAGCGAAAGAAGGGAGAGGGCTAGGTTGGGGAGGCCTCCTTCTCCATCCTCCGCCCTCCAGCTGCGCGAACGTTTGCCAGCGCCCCCCGCTGCGCCCCTGCCTGTTCCTGGGGCGCGCTGGGCGCTCGCAGGGGGCGCGCGGCAGCCAGGCGTGCAGATGGCCAGCGAGGGCGAGGAGAAGTTTGGGAGTTTTTGATTCCCGCGCCCAACTGGACAAGAAAGGTTTGCGTGAACCACGGCATTGCGCACAGCTCCGTTCGCGCAGACCGAGCGGGCGGCACTTGGGCGTCACAGGGTTGCCTCGTCAAAGTGAGCAGCGCTCAGATACCAACTCGAGATGGGGATCCTGCACGCCGCGCTGTCCACACTGTGACTGAGCCCGGCGCCAGGGCCAATTTTAGTGCTCCGCGCCGTTCAGGATAGAATGGGCGGCACCTGAGCGTCACAGGGTTGCCGCAGTGGACGGCGCACGCTGGTGCACCTGAAAGGGACCCTGGTTGTCCGCGCGACCCCGAACAAGGCGCGAACCAGCGCAACAGCTGATGGGGTCGCCCGCGGAAACTGACATCCGCGCCCCCGAGTAGCGAAACCAGATGAGGATTTTCGCTACCCACCGGCCCCGCAACATCCCGAAAGGAATGAGCGGCACCTGAGCTTCACAGGGTTGCTGATCGCTACGAGACGCGTAGGTACGAATCCTGAAAACAAATTCGGCAAGGCGCAAGAGGGCACAACCGCGCTGGGGTTGGCCGCCTGCCGACACGTGAGATCTGCACCCGCGCGTAGCGAATCCAGAAAGGATTTCCGCTACCCGCCAACTCCGGCCATCCCAAAAGGAATGAGCGGCACCTGAGCGCCACAGGGTCGCTAATCGCCACGGGGCGTGCTGGCGCGAATCCTGATGAGGAAGCTGGCGTCAGCCGCGAAGAAGGCGCGGCCGTCGTCGATGGGTTTGGTCGCCCGCGGAAACTGACATCCGCGCCCCCGAGTAGCGAAACCAGATGAGGATTTTCGCTGCCCACCGGCCCCGCAACATCCCGAAAGGAATGAGCGGCACCTGAGCGTCACAGGGTTGCTGATCGCTACGAGACGCGTAGGTACGAATCCTGAAAACAAATTCGGCAAGGCGCGAGACGGCGCAACCGCGCTGGGGTTGGCCGCCTGCCGACACGTGAGATCTGCGCCCGCCCATAGCGAATCCAGAAGAGGATTTCCGCTACCCGCCAGCTCTGCACCCTCCCGAAAGGTACGAGCGGCACCTCAGCGTCACAGGGTTGCTAATCGCAACGGGGTGCGTGGCGCGAATCCTGATGGGGAAGCTGGCGTCAGCCGCGAAGCCGGCGTGGCCGTCGCTGATGGATCTGGTCGCCCGCGGAAACCAACATCTGCGCCCCCGAGGAGCGAAGCCAGATGAGGATTTTCGCTTCCCGCTTGCTCCGCACCACCCCGAAGGGAATGAGCGGCACCTGAGCGTCACAGGGTTGCTGAAAGTCACGAGCATGCTGGCGGAATCCTGACGCGGAATCCGACCAACGAAGTCGGTGTGGCTGATGGGTTTGGCCGCCCGCGGACATGGGAGATCCGCGCCCCCGAGTAGCATATGCGTTGCCCGCCAGCTCCGCGCCTTCCCGAAATGGAGGGGCGGCACCTGAGCGTCACAGGGTTGCTAATAGTGCTGAAGCGAGCTAGCGCGAATCCTGAAGTGGAGTCCGACAAGCCCGACGACGGGTTGCTGAACGACGGGGCGTTCTCGCGTGGACGGCGGCGGTGCGCGGGGCGCCGATCTGGGAGATCCGCGCTGTGCACAGCCACGAAACCAGAAGGGGCGTTCCCCCCAGCTCCGCGTCAACCTGATCAGGAAGAGGGGCACCTGAGCGTCACAGGGTTGCTGAACGACGGGCGCCCCGGCGCGAAAAGTGGATTCGCATGGGCAGCCTGATGTTGCCCCGCGTGAGTCCGCGAGACGCGCGGCACCGCCTCCCAGGCCTGCGCGCGTAGAGAGGAAAAGAATGAGATGGGGTGGCCGCGAAAACCACATTTCCCGAATGCACAGCCTCCTAAGAAAAAACGCATCGCCGATAGAGGTCCGATTGCCCCAACCTGCCCAGGAAGGTGCGGATTCTTTTTCGGAGGCCGATCGACGATGTATCGCCGATTCCAAGTCGAAGCATCCCCCCTATGCAAGTCCCCCCCGATCGTCGCCCCTCAGCCAAGGACCTCGTCGCGCAAGCATTGTTTGGGGAATGTGCGCGCAGAAAGAATGCTTTTGCACATGCGTGAATGCATCTTACATGGCCAAGAACGGCTCTCGCGATCTGGGGCAAGACATGTTGGAGCAAACATCGATGTGTCGAGGCATGACGTGTACGAGCGCGTATATCTCGCATGGTGCTGTTCCATGCTGGTTCTACCACGGGACGGTGCCGGCCCAGCGTTCGCGCGCGGGGCTCGCATTACGGTAGTATTCGGCGGGCGAAGTGCGCAGGCGTGGCCTGCACAGGACACTCTCCGTGGGGGAGAGTCCAGGCTTGATACGGCCCTTCCCTCCCCGGTGGAGCCCGAGGCCAAACTGAGTTTGGGAGTTGTTGCTTTTGCCAGCGCGGACCCTGACGATTTGGAGTTCAGAGAAGGGCAAGCAGCATGTTGCACTCTATGTGGTGCAAGATGCGTGGCGCAAGCTACGTGGTGCCAGTCCGATGTGTGGTGCAAGCTCTGTACGCGGTATATCGGTATACTCTGCGCGCTGCAGGCCACGGGTTGCATATATATATATATACACACAGACATACATACATACATATATACACACAAACATACATACATATTTACATACATACATACATACATATATACATATATGCATGTATATGTAAATAGACTTGTACATATACATCTACATATATATATACATATATATATGTATATAAATATATGTATATGTACATGTATAGGTATATGTATGTGTATATATATATGTGTATAAAGAGAGTTTCAGTTAGGTGGTGCAAGCTATGAGGTGCAGACTATGTGGTGCAAGCTACGCGGTGCAGCAACTACGTGTAACACAGGTGGTGCAAGTTATATGCGTTGCAAGCCCTCGAGGCGTTGGCGAGGCACCCACCAGCGGGGCACAGTTGAAACCACGAACCAGCCAGCCAGCGCACGTGGCCTTCACGAGGCGCCCACGGGCGGGCGCCCTTCGAAACTTCGACAATTTCAGCCAGCGCACGGGGCGCTTATGATGCGCCCACGGGCGGGGACGTGGTGAAACCCCGAGCCACGCACTCAACTACTTCAGAGGACAGTCGGAACCATTAGGAGCAAACGCTAGTTGTGAGGAAGGAAAAGAGAGTCAGGATGGGGAAGGAGGAGCAGACAGAGGAAGGGGAGGAGGAAAGAGGGATGACGAAGTACAGGGGGGGAGGGGTAGGAGGAGGCCCTCCCTTTCCTCCTCGCCCGACCCCATCCACCTCCCCATCCCCCTCCCCTCCTCCTCCTTTTCCTCCTCCCTCCTCTTCCTCCTCCTCCTCCTCCTCCTCCTCCTCCTCCTCCTCCTCCTCCTCCGTAGCCATTTTGGCTCAAGGCCCATGCTTTGGCGGGCTGAGCCCGCTCTGGCAAAAACGGATACCGCTAGTCCGCGGCAGCAACCAACCTGTACGGAGGTCCCTCGGTCGAGGGGTTCGCGAGCCTCCAACATCCCAATCCTTGCTCTCGCGCCATGGCTCCGGCTGGCCCTGGTGAGTGGGAGCGCCGCCCGTGGGTTCAGTCATCCCGGCCCCGTCGCTGGGGGGGCACCATACCTGAGGGCGGGGGTTCGGCAGCCAAGTGGGAAAAATGGGACAGCCAGCGAGCCAAGCACGAGGAGGAATGGAAGACGGTGGCAGGTCCCAAAGGTGAAATTCTATGCCACCACTGCGGATGCCGTAAGAACTCAAAAGGATCGATGTGCTGCAAGCATTGTGGCCAAAAGCTCGGTACTCGTCCCCAACCACTTGATGACTCTGGGGCCCCCATGGCGTCGGACGAGTCGGGGAAGGGAGCGAGCAAGGGAAAGAAAGGGTACAAAGGCGGCAAGGGAGATCTGTTCGGTGGCAAGGGCCCAGGCAACCTCTCCACGGCACTCCCTCCTGGACCTGTTCCCGAGATTCCCCAGGCCAAGGCCCTCGAATTACAGCGTCTGGCTCGTGAGGCTGGGGACGCTGTGGGGGCCGCGCGCTATGGAGCCCTGGCGCAGAGGGCGGCGCCGCCCCCGAAGCAGTCGGGGAGGCAGAGGCTCATTGCCGCAGAGCAGAAGCAGGAGAAGCTCGAGAAACGCCTCAACAGTGAGTTCGAGAAGCTGGAGCGCTGGCGTCGGGCGACAGATGAGCTGGCAGTCACGGTTGGGGCCCTGGCCGAGGAGCTGCAGGCTGCCGACGACGAGGTGGCAGCCGCCCTGGTGGAGCTCCAGAGCCAGCACAGAGGGCCACCAGCGACGGAGTCCAGCGGCCTGCCGAGCATCAGCCTGCGCAAGCTCATCGACGGTGAGATGGAGCTGGCCAGCCTTATTTCTTGTGACGATTTCATTGATGTTGAGGCTGTCAAGGGCAGCTACGAGGTGTCTGAAGAGGACCTACGAGAGCTCGAGGATCGCAAGAACAACGTGGCGAAGCAGCTGCAAGAGGTGCTGGGATCGGTATTTCGCCAAGCTCTGGAGAAGGCCAATTCCGCCCAGGACCAGCACAAGGAGCACCTCAAACGACTCCAAGCGAAGCGACGACGCACTGCTGACGGTTGCCCTGGGGAACAAGCAGCCGCCACAGGTGGGATCGAGTCTGGACCAGGGGCCTCGCCAAGCCCAGAGACCGCGACAGCGAGCTCACCTGCCGAGGCGCCGGCTGATGCAGTTGGCAAGCCTGCCCCACAGTTGGACATTCGCTCTCGTGTCTCTGCTGACGTTGGTGTGCAGGCAGCAAAACGGTCGGGGCTTTAGCCACAGCGTGAGCTCGACACAAGTGGGGGCGACGTGGTCGAGTTCGGCTACTCCCTGTTCCTGGTCATCTCTCGGTGCCGTTCCTGAGAAGGCGGCCGCTAGCGTCCTCTCTCCTGAGAGGAGCAGCCTGAGTGAACCCGCCTGCCTCACGGCAGGTGCGAGTCCCAGGCGGGCAGCGGCGCTGGAGGAGCGTGCACTGACGGCGAAGTCGATTGCCTCGAGCGCATCGTCGAGGCCGTCGTCTTCGGTTGAGCTGTCATCGTCGGTGTCGGGTACTCCCTGCGCTGCGGTGTCGCCGTCGGCTCCAGTGTCGGCGACTCCCTGGGCTGCGGTGTCGCCGTCGACTTCGTGGGTGGCGTCTACCCGTTTTGTCGGATTGGAGACCAGGTGCGCCTCGAGCCTGGTCTCCTCAGAGTTAAATTGCGAGGAAGAGTGGCCACGGGCTTCGGCGACATGTCAGAGCGCCGAGAACGTGACAGCCAGTCAGAACGTAGCCGTCAAGCCCAACCAGAGTTTGGCGGCCCTCTCGTCCAAACCTTTTGTTGCACGCAGTGAGGAAATTTCAGTGTCAGAACGCGACAGCCAGGCGCTCCTCGAACCTGGCTGTCTCAGAGTAGATTGTGAGAGCCCGTCGTTGGAGTCTGGCGCTAGAACGCTAAATCCTGGGGGCAACCGATGCTCGGAGGAAGTGCCCAGCCAGGTTCAGTCGCCACTTGCTGAGTCTCGAGCCATGGGAGTCAGTGTTGAGCAACCTCAGGTGGAGTCTCAAGCAGCGCTGCAGCCGAAGCAGGTCATCTCATTGTTGGAAGGGCTCCCTCCTGAGGATCGCGGTGCCCTAGGTGCGTTCAAAGTTGGCACTCTGAATGCGAATACTTGGCCAAGGGCTCGGAGCACCATGCCATGGATTGAGAAACGATGTCAGATGCCGCATGTGTTATGCATTCAGGAGACCGTGCTGGACCAGTCGGGGGAAGCAGGGGCCCATCAATGGACTCGCACTTGCTCTCGGAAGCTGGCGCTGGGAACTGCCAAGCGCACAGGAGAATCGGCCAGATCTCTTTCAGCAGGAGTGGGTTTGTCAGCGGCCATTGGCATTGGGGTGGCCAAGCTCCAGGTTCCTGAGAGGTGGCAGCACCGTGTTGTGATGAGGCTCATGACGGTTGGCGCTCACTCGTGGATCATCATCGGCTCAGTCTACGGCGTCGACTCGATCGGCCCCAAGGGCGAGAACCTGGAGCTGCTGGAGTTCCTCAGTGCCTTCCTGGGGGCGCAGCGTTTCCCTTTCCTGCTAGGAGGTGACTGGAACCTAGAACCTGAGGAGATCATGGAGCTAGGATGGCTGGACCTGGCAACCGCCACCATCTTCGCACCTGGCCTCCCAACCTGCAATGGCAAGGAGTATGACTACTTCATTGGCTCCCAGGCTCTGGACGCCTTCCCCATGTCGGTGGAGGCCAGGGTGGACACGCCGATCTCGCCACACTGCTACGTTGAGATCAAGCTGGAGGGCCTCAGGGACGAGCCCTTTGTCTGGGTCGAGGCGCCCCCACGAGCCTTTCCTCTGGCCGACCAGGAGGCCAAGAGGAAAGCCAGGGAGAAGGCAAAGAGTGCCAAGGTGACCGACCTCACCTCGACCACGGAACCGCCTATGGTACCTGTGCTTGACGAGTGGCAACTGGACGCCCCCGTGAACTCAGTCGAGGATGCGGCAGCGATGTGGTTCAAGGCGGCTGAGAAGTACCTGGTGCAGTTGTTCGGGATTCCGCTCTCGGACAGGAGGCTCTACGTTGGCAGGGAGAAGGGCGTGGTTCTCAAGAAGAAGAGGCTGGTGGACTGTGCGAAGGCTATCCTAGAGCGCCACGACGAGTCGGACACCAGAGCTTGGCTGAGTGCCCTCAGGCTATGGGATGCCCTATGTGTGGCATCGTCAGCTCCGTCTGGTTCGAAAGCAGGCAGGCCAGAGCACTCCGCGAGGTGCGAGAGACAGCTGCTGGCCCTGAAGCTCCCTGAGGCCATCTCGGATTCCCCCTCCCTGCAGGCGAAGGATGTCCAGAAGTGGGTCGCCTTGGCCAAGAGAGGAGGTCAGTTGTCTGCCTGGTTTCGAACTGTTCTAGCGGAGGAGGTGGATGTGCGCAGACGCAAGGGCTCACAGGCCAGGAGTAAGGCCTGGAGAGAGTTCGGCGACCTCGCAGCTGATGGCTCTGGCAGGCTAGCGCACGCGATTTCCAGGCCCAAGCTGTTGGAGGAGGCGCCCACGCTGGCCAAAGGCAAGGCCCATGGTCTGGTGGGAGCTGCTGCGATCACGGCGGTGCTGGAGGAATGGGAAGAGCTGTGGATCTCTGACGACAGGGCCCAGGAGGCAGCGCCGTCTGACTGGAGTTACCCGTGGAAGCCCGACCAGATCTCGGAGGACCAGATCGTCCAGGTCTGTCGCTCCTTTGGCTTTTCCACTGGTCTAGGCTGGGACAACTTTCACATGAGGTTGGTAAGCTTCCTGGATGGAGTGTTTGTTCGGAGGCCCCAAGAGATTATTTCAAGTTGGGAGCGCAATCCGCACTGTGAACGCATGTGGGTCACGATCAATGTATTTCTGCCCAAACCAGGAGGAGGTACACGCCCGATCGGGCTCCTTTGCTTCTGGGCGCGCATTTGGAGCAGATGCAGGAGGCAGTCTGTCAAAGGTTGGGAGGCGTCGGTTGATGCGAAGTTTTTCTGGGGAAAGGATGCCACGACCAGTTGTGACAAAGCGGCGTACGTACACAATATGCTTGCCTGCTACGCCAGAAGGAAGAGGCTGTCGGCCATAACTGTGTTCTTTGACATCCGCAAGTTCTACGAGAATGTCAGTCATCAGCAGCTGAGAGAAGCAGCAGAGCACTACAACTTCGACGGCGCCTTGCTGAAGGCGCTCTGCTGCCTGTATCGAGCGCCACGCCGTGCGCACTGGACAGGAGGCGCGAGCAGAGCCAGTCATCCGAATGGAACTATCGTGGCTGGCTGCAGTGCGGCAACGGGAGTGGCGAAACTGATGACCTTGTGCCTCCTCAAGCGCCTGGCTGAGGAGACGCCTCCGTGTCGTGCGTTGAATGTGGTGGACGATTTGACGACGCATACCATCGGAGGCCCAAGGACGGTTGTTGAGAACACGGTCAAGAGTTTCGAGATTGTCACCTCGGAGCTGGACTCGAGGAAGTTGCCAATTAATTGGGACAAGACTAGATTCATGATGTCCGATCACTCCCAGCTGCCTGCGTTGGCACAGGATCCCAGGTGGAGGCTATCGGACGACAAGCTGGTCATCGCCCACCGCGACCTCGGCGGCGACTCGCTGGACGGCAGAGCGAGGCGAGTCGGCACGCAGGCGTCGAGAATTGAGGCCGCCCGCAGCACTGCAGTTGCCCTACGACAGCTGGGGCAGAGTGAAAAGCATAGTAGAGTTTATCGTGTGGGCGCGCTGGCTAAAGCTTCTTGGGGATCCCACATCTTGGGGATCCCGCCGACCACCCTCCATAAGCTTAGTGTCCAAGCTGCGAGATCCTGGGGCCCTCTTCTTCCTGGCACTTCCCTGGGCTTCAGGTTTCTTTCGGCCGCTCGCCTCTGGCTCAGGGACCCGCTTTTGGTGACGGTGACGTCGGCTGTAAAGGAATTCGTCAGCGTTTGGTGGGCCCGCTCGATTTCCAAACCAGTGTTGGAAGCTTGTGTCCAGGACGCCCTGGCGGTCCAGGGGAGTAGGGCCCCCTGGGGCCAAGTCCGCCAGCCTGTTGCTGCGCTTTTCCTGCAGCTTGCTCGGATCCGCTGGAGTTTCGATGTGTCTCGATTAGCCCTGGTTGACGACCTCAACCGCGCGTGGTCAATTGATCGGTTTTCGCCCAAGTTTTTCACCCTTCTCCTGCGAGGCTCGGTCGTTCGGGCCATTGAGCGGGAGGAGCAGTTGAAGCAGTTTGATTTCGGGATGTGGAGCGGCCCAGTGTTCTGGCAGCCCATTCATCAGCTTCTAGGGCGGAAATGTTCGGAGTCGTGGACGAAGTCGCACAAGGCAGCTCTTTCAGCGCTGTGTGCGAATGTGTACTGGTGCCAGCACAGAGTGTGCGAGCATAGTCCAGAGGCCCCTGACCAATGCCAGCTGTGCAGAGATGGTAGAGGCACGTTGTGCCATCGCAGGTTTCAGTGCGTTGCCTTCGCTCCCTGGCGGCGCGAGAACCTGGATCCCGTGGTTGCTAAGGCGGCTCGTGCGGTTGGCCATCTCCCCACTCCTGCTGGGGAACTTTTTAGCAGATGTCTTTTCCCCAACCCTGCGGCCTGGGTGGAGCGACCCCCCCGCGACCCGCAGGACCCGTGCACCAGGCACTTTCAGTGGCCTCAGGACGGCCCCTTGTTTATTCCTGAGGGGGCTCATGTGTTCACGGACGGGTCGGGCTTTGAAGGGAAGCTCACAGGACTCGGGACCGCGGGTTGGGCTGTTGTGGTGCTGGACAGGCAGGGTAGGACCCTCGCTGCCCTTTTTGGTGTCGTGCCGATCGGGGAAGCGCCTGGGCAACAGGCGCGCGACGGCGAGGATTTCGCTGTGCTGATGCTCTCCCGCCGTTCGGTCCTCTCCTCAGGTGTCTCGCTTCATGTGGACTGTGCGGCCACGGTCGGTTGCCTTCGAAACCTCGCGGGGGCAGCTGGTGCGTCGTCGGCCCGAGCCCACTGGTGGGCTGAGATTGGGGACCGTTTGGAGGGCTTGGCAGTGCATCAGATCCCGTCTCACTCGTCGATGGTTGATGTTAGGGAAGGCCGTATCACTGAAATGCAGCGTTTCGGGAACTCGGAGGCGGACAGACTCGCCAAGGAAGGAGCTGAGCCATTCCGAATTTCGATTGAGGACCGCCAATTTGTGACTGGATATGCAGAGCTTGTCCGACGTGTCGGGCTGTACAGTGCCAGGCAGCAGGCTGAGTGTAGGGATTTGGCCCTGAACGATCATCAAGGGTTGGAATGGCTCGGCTACGTCCTCCTGGATGCGGTCCCTGGCTTCCCCCTTCCTGGTTCGGACCCTGGGGGTGGTGAGCCAAGTGCGCCTAGCGGTGTGCCTCAGGTTGCGCCTGGTGCGGGGGAAGCCCCTGGCGAGGCCCCTGGTGCGGTTTCTGGTGAGCCGCCTCCCGAGAACCCCCCGACCCCAGGAGCATGGCTCCAGCTGGGGCACTCCCTTGAGCAGGGGGTGGTATATGAGTCGGATGGCTGCACGTATCACGATACGATGCTGTGTTGCACGGCTTGTGGTGCAATGGCACATTCCAGCACGAAACGGGGGAATCTTCGGTTGAGGTGTCGTCCTGTCGCGTCTGGGGGACGGGGGTTTTACCTTGACCGATTTCGTGCTGGAAGATATCCTGCCCATAGGAATCCTAAAGGGCTCACTATGGCGTACACGGGTGCCCCCTCTCTTGAGGTTCGCTCGGAGTGGAGGCCCTTCTTTGAGGCCTGGTCCCAGGGCCGCGACCGCCCTCCGAGAATAGCTCGGGGTGCCCAGCCCTCGCGCCGCGAGGGTCCCGCTGCCGACCGTGCGCGAGGCCTCGCCATGCTCGGCCTGACGCGGGCGGAGGTCGTGGAACTGGGGGCCGAGGTCGAGGCCAGGCGCTGGAGAGGCGTTCTTCCCGAGGAGGAGGAGGATCTCTTCGGCTGCCTAGGCCCCTCCTAACTTGTTTGTTTTTTGTTGCATGCGAATTGGGTCACTCCCTTCGTGGTCGTGGGCGTCCTCCTCCTCCTCCTCCCCGTCTTCCTCCTCGCCCACCCTCTCCTCGCCCACCCCCTTTCCCTCGCCGAGCCTCCCCGTCTACTCATCCTCGCCCCCCCATGGGGGGGGGGGGGGGGGGCGAGGATGAGGAGGCGGGGGCCCGCCCTTCCTCGCCAATCCCCTCCGCTTCATCCCGCCCCCATTCCCTCTCCTCGCCCACCCCCTCCTCCTCGACCCTCTGCCTGAGGACCCTTTGCCTCAGGACCCTGGCCTGCGGGCCTGCCTAAGGAACCGGGCCCGCGGGCCCAACATGCAATCTTTTACATGAGAAAACAGACCGACCTAGCTCGACCACCACCGCGCCCCCCCCCATCGCGAAGGCGCGTCGCCGGGACCGGGCCGCTTCGCGAACGACACCTCGTACCTGGAGGCGACCCGCCGTCGCCAGCCCGGTCGTCGGGTCGTCGCTCCTGGTGCAGAGAGCAAGCGGCGGACGACGGCGAACACGACGTCGTCTTGGCTCGGACGAAAAGGGGGATACATACATATATATATATATATATAAACATATACATATACATATACATATACATATACATATATATATATATATATGTATATAAATGTACATATATATATATATATATATATGTACATACAGACTTTTATGTACATCGGGAACGTCTGGTGTCTCCATGGGAGCCTGTCGCCGATCTATCGGCGATGCATCGACGATTCCAGGAATGGTTCCTTTCCTGTGCCGGTCCCCCCTCGAATCAGAGAAGGGAAGTGGTGGTACGGCAGGTTCGCGCGGCGTCGACGAGGCGGCGGCCCCAGCGCGGGCGTTCAAGGTGGAACGCCGCAGGTGACCGTGGATCGTTTGGAATTGCAGACATTTGGCGGTCGGGAAGCCGCAGACCGTGCAAGGCTGAACGATCCACGCGGTGTGAGAAACCAACGCCCGCGACATCGCCAAGCGAGCTTTGCGTACCAGAGAGGGAAAGCCGCGATCGTTCAAGGTCGAACGATCCTCGCGGTGTAAGAGACCAACGCCGACGCGATCTCGACGCGAACTTGCCGTGCGAAGGGCAAGACCGAGCTAGGAGGAGGATGCATCCGTTTCACAGCGTTCGGGAACGCTCTCAGAGCGTCCCGGAGCGCTTTGAGAAGGCCGTCGCGCTCGATACATCGTCCAGAGCCGCAGGGTCTGAGAGATGCCCGCTTTATCTGCGCCCGAATTTGTCGCTTCGTCTCATAGGGGACGCGGTGGGTTCAAAGTCTGCTGCGTGCCGCTGGTCTCGGCCCCGCCACGCGCGGTACTCTCTTGGTTACAGTCGTGCGAGAAGCGTTGGCCAAGCGCCACGCGGCGCCAGGAGCCCCCGAGGAGATCTCGGAGGCTGTGACGATAGGTTTGCTCTCTTGCGTCGGCGCCGGACACCCCCTCCCCCGGGGCGGCCCAGACATGATCGTGATGACCGCAGGTTCTTCCCCCAAGCCCCCCCCGCCCCCGGGCTCGCGCCTGCCGCAGAAGCCGCGCGGCCTCCCCCCTCCACCCCAGACCCCCTCGGGTCATGAACCAACGTCGGGAAGGGAGGTGTTTCGATACTTTCGGCCTCTGGGAGCCCTCGCCGGGCTCGGGGGCCGTCAAGAAACGGCACAGGATGATACGCTGGTCCCAGGGAAGGGTCGGGGCTTCAGCGACCGCGTCTTGAAGAAAAAATCAGGATTTCGCATGCCTGGGGCCGCTGGAGGCGCTGTCAGGGGCGACGCGGGAGGCGCCGCCAGATCGCACGGTCTGTCACCAGATGTTTTTGGACTCACCAAGTCATTGTTTCCGGGATCCTTTTTTTTTTCGTCCCCCGTCTCCCGTCCTCATGGTCAATGGGGAGAGAAACAGATGAGGGAGGAGTCAGAGTAGGGAGGATGAGGAGCGGAAGGGAGCAGGAGGAGCGCACTGTTCCTTATCCTTTTCCCGCTCCCCTTCCTGCCCTTTCCTATGCCTCTCCCCCTTGCTCTTTGCCGACGCCGCCGACGCCGACCCAACCGACGCCGACGACGCCGACGACGCCGAGGCCGACGGCGCCGACCCCGCCAGCAAAGACAGCGACGACGGCGCCGACGACGACGACGCCGACGACACCGCCGACGACGACGCGGTCGACGCCGCTGCCGCCGCTGCCGCCGCTCCCACCGCTGCTGCCGCCGAGGAGGCCGCCGACGACGACGACGACGGCGACGACGACGACGACGAGGCCGACGAGGCCGACGCCGACGCCCACGCCGACGCCGATGCCGCCGCCGCCAAGACGACGACGACGAAGCCGATGCCGACGACGACGCCAACGACGAGGCCGACGCCGAGGAGGCCGCCGACGACGACTCCGCCGACGATGACGCCAACGCCGCCGACGTTGCCGACGACGACGACGACGACGACGACCAGGCCGACACCGCCAACGAGGCCGACGCCGACAACGCCGGCATTGACGCCGCCACCGCCGCCGCGGCCTCCGCCGCCGCCATCGCCGCCGCCGCCGCCGACGGAAACGACGACCACGATAACCACGACGACAACAACGACGATGACGACGATGACAAGGCCGACGCCGACAACGACGCCGACGACGACGAGGCCGACGCCGAGGAGGCCGCCGACGACTACGACGCCGACGACTAGCTACGTCGGCGACGGCTCAGAGGACGACGATTCCAACGCCGCTGGCGTTGTTGCCGACGGCGCCTGCAGCCCCCCCCCCTGGTGCAGGCCCGCCTCGCAGAGTCCGGGGCGGGCGGCCTCGGATCGCCCGGGGCGGCGTTCGGGACCGAGGTGCGGTCGCGCGTGTGCAGGACGCCCGGGCCGGGGGGGGGCAGGAGGCACCCGGGTCGGCCACGCGTGAGGAAGCCGGCGAAGAACGGTATAAAATACATGTTTTGCCGTCGGGAGCGCTTGCCCCCCAGGCGGCTGGAAAATTTATACCCCTACGGTGCCACGTAGGGGTGTAAACTTTCGAGCCGCCCGCGGGGCAGGCGTCCTCGACGGCGGACAGTTTATGTTATACCATTATTCGCCCGCTAGGTGAGACCCGCAGATCCTTGAAATTGTTCGGACGTGTGCTTTTTTATTTCCCCATCGGTCGTTGGAAAGTATGTATTTTTCTGGATTCCCAGATTCCAACCCACTTTAAGAGCTTCCCTACTTCAATGATCGAGTGGCTTCACCTTTTCCGTGCTCCTCAGGGGGCGGACGGATCTTCTTTCAACGCCTTCCCTTTCTATATGTCCACCTACTTCTTCCGACCGATGGGTAACGCCCTTCGGCCCATCCCGCCACCGCGCATGGGTTGTGGATCGGAGTTGTCAGGGATGTTGCTTCGCGTCTCTTCGGAGCGCTCCCAGGGGCTTCTTGGGAACAGTTTGTGGGCGTCTTGCGAGCCTCTTGGGGGCCTCTTCGAGGGGCTCTTAAGTCCTCTTGGGGGCCTCTCGGAGGCCTCTCGGGCCGAGCTCTCGGGGGCGCAAGGCTACGTTTGCGAGGTTGCCTTGCTATCCGAGCGTTGGGTTACACGAGTTAACATGAGCGCCGCTTCTCATCCTCTGAGCTCCAAGTTGCAGTGTATGCCACGGGGTCGTAACAGAACTTTTCAGGAAGTGTCCACATAGAGAGGGGGGGGAGAGAGAGAGAGAGAGAGAGAGAGAGAAACAAAAAAAAGAGAGAGGAAGAGAGGGAGAGAGAACGATGTCTGAAGCAGATCACACCCTCCATGCGTGAAGGGGGCGCGCGATATTCAGGTTGCCAGTCATCAGCTCCGGACAAGAACATCAAACGAAAACCCCATAGTTTTAAACGCCGTCGCCTATGTATGGGTAAGTTTTACACGTTGCATACTCTGATTAGCGATCAAAAGAAACGTCTCTAGCGAGCACCCCCCTTCAAAAACATGTGCTCCATCCTTGCGGTTGTATGATGTGTGGTTAAAGAGTATCCCCAGCGCTCAAGTGATAGGCGGATGCGAAGACAACCTGACCATACAAACAGCTAGAAGCTAGATGTGCAGATGCACGCGCACGTGCTGTGCACATAATTTTATAGATGTACATATATATATATAATGTAGATATATGTATGTGTATATATATATATATGTGTGTGTGTGCTCACTTTATACTATGCATTGCCATGTTGGGCCATCGTTTCTTCGCAGTGATGTGGGATTGGGCGGGGGCCGTGGGAGTCAACGCTCAAGCCATTTTCCCAATTAGCTGGTATGTCTTTTCAGGCGGGCGCGGATTGTGTGCAAAGCGTCCGCTCATCGCCTGTAGCACGGCGTCCAACCTGCTTGCGACCTGGATCGCGCGGCCGCCGCCGTGTCTGTCCGCGCCGTCCTGCCCCGCGAACCCCACATGCCCCACGGTGGCGCGCCCGAGCCTCCTGCGCGGGGGGATGCACGGCTGCGCGTCGCAGCAGTCTCTGGCTTGCCCGGCGGCGCCTGCAGCGCAGCCGCCACATTGGCCGCCGCACCGGCGCCGCAATGGCGCCACACCGCCGGTGGAGCTAGCCGAGGGCTGGAACTGGAGCTGGCTACCCTGCTGCTCGGCCACATGCTGGTGGTTTTACCCCCTAAAGGTTCTTTCGTGGGGAGGAAAATCGGCGTTTCGGCCGCAGTTTCCCACGGTTGGTCGTTTGGTCCGTTTGGGGGGTTCATGGTTTCTTCATGGCCTGCTTGGCTCCAGTAGGAGCGGCGGCGTTGGCGCGTGGAACCTTCGAGGAGAAATTGCGGAGCGCAATGGAGGCAAAGAAAATGAGGACGGCTTACATTGGGTTTGCGACGTTCTACGGCCACATCCTCGATTGGGGTGTCAAGATGGTCCTCACGAAGGTGATCACAGCCGCCCAGTTGCTCGCTCACCTGATGGTGCTCACCCGAGTGGCTGAGGAATACGGAGGTTTTCGTGTGTGCACGCACTACGACTTGCTGCTGGGGCAGAAGTTTGCCCGCGCATTGGAGCGGTAAGAAAACGATCAGATCAGGAAGTTCCTGGGTGACTTGGACAGAGATGTGCTGGCCGACGCCAAGAACATCGCTGAGAAGCGCGTTTCAGAGGTTGCGAGGGCAGCTAATAAAGTGAGCCAGAGCTCAAGCTCGCAGCAGTCACATGCGACACCAGGGAAGGGCAGCGGCAAAGGCCCTGCCAACAGCAAGGGGGCAACCCACCCCGCGAACGTGGGCCGCCAGGTGCGTTCCCCGGCGCGGAGGTCTCGCAGTCCGAAAATGGGCCCCGCATCCAGCTGGAGCTCTCAGAAGTGGGACAACAAGAAGTGGGACAAGAAGTGGGACAACAAGAAGTGAGGGCCGCGAATCGTCCGAGGATCACTCGGGCAAATTGTTGAATGCGAGTGGATTTGCCACCGATTCTGACGAATTGCGAGCTGAAGTGAACAGTTTGCTGCAAGATGTACATAGACTCAGCTGCATGGCGCCGAGCCATCACATAGATTGGGCGCGCGGTCTCCCGCCTTGTGCAGGTACTCTGCGCCTGCGCGGTGAGACGCATTCGAGCGCCCTTTTACGAGTGCGGGCCCAGGCGCGACCTGCATGATTTCCCTGCTTCTGCTCTAGCTTTCTGGCGCGAGCGCAAGCGTGTGACGGACAGAGAATGGCAATGGGAGTTTACCAAGCTCCCACAGCACGTGCAAGCTGTTCTAGGTCCGGATAAAAACTCGCGGTTGCTGGCAGAGATGCTAGAGGCATCTGGGCATTCTGACGCCGAGTTAGTGGCAGATTTGGCAGCGGGTTTTAAGCTGATCGGGGTGATTCCTCCGAGCGGCACGCTGCCAACATGTGCGCCTGACGCTCTTTTGCCTTTGGACCTGCTGTGGGCGCGCGCGCCCGCGACCAACGCGAAGCTGATTTTGAGGGCTGCTTCTTCTACCTTGATAGATGAAGAAGCGGCCGCAGCTTTGCGTGCGCAAACCGAAAGTGAGGTCGCAGCAGGCAAAGCAAGGAGGGCGCCACTGTCCGCCGCTCTAGACGACGTCGTTTGCTCCCCCCGCTTTGGAGTAGACGAAGGTTTGGAAAGTGAAGCGCGGCGCTGTTGCCCCGGCAGTCCGCGCCATTGATGATTTCCACGTCTCGGGAATCAACGAAGCGACCCAGGTGTCGGAGCGCATTTGTTATGATGATCTGGACATTTTGGTTGCGGTAGGCCAACTTGCCCGGCGGAACAGCCCGGGGCCGCTGCGCTTGCGGAAGGATGGCGTTGTCGGCGCGTATAAAACTCTGCCCATACGGACAGTGCACTTGCCGTATGCTGCGGCTGTTACAGAAGACACGGCGTGCACAGGCGTCGCGCTGCAGCTTTTCATAGCTCCAAAATCGCGTAGCGGTTTGGGGGGCAGGAAAAATACTCAGGGAGAGAACCGGCGCCGCCAGACGGCGCCCGACTGGACTTCTCCAATGGCCCCGCCTGGCAGGGAAGCCGCGCCCGCCCCAGCGCCAAGAAAAGCAACAGGGTGGCAGCGGGTGTGTTACATAGCAGCCTGCGCCGCGCATGCGGCCGAGTGCGAGCGAGAACCCAGGAGCGGCAGCGGCCCCGGGAGGCGGTGGCGACAAGGAGGGCGACGAGGAGCCGCGGCGACGAGGAGCACCAGCAGCGCCCTGAGCGCCAGAACAGGAAGGCGACGAGGACGGGCAGCGGCGACGAGGAGCACGAGCCGCAACCCGAGCGCCCAAGAGCACGGTCAGGCGCGCCAGCACCCGCACAACGACCACTGCCACCGCCAGCAGAAGGCGCGGTTATCCTCGCGCACTCGCGCCGAGGAAGGAGAAGGGCAAGTGGCGTAGCATCCCCGCGCCCAAATCCACCAGCCGCACGCGGCCACTGGCTGCAAGCGCAACGATCCGCCGCGCCACGGGGGGCACTGCCAGGCAGTGAACCAGCGCGATTCTGCTGAGGCCACCGAGGCCAGAAGCGAGGAGACCACTTGAGTCCTCCTGGAGATTTTCCTGCCCCCCAAACCGCTGCACGATTTGGGGGCGATGAAAATCTCTGCGTGCGGCCACGCTCAAAACGCGCGGGTCGGCGCCCGCGCTGGGAGGAGAGACAACCGGCGCCGCCAGGCAGGGCCCGACTGCGGACTTCTCCAATGGCCCACCGCATCCAGGAGGGCACAGACTGGCGGCCGAGCCGACAGGCGTTGTCCACAGGGCAGAGGCACGCCTCGGAACCGCTGTTTTACAGGCGCGCGCCCACTGCATGCGAGCGTGCCTAGTTGCCATCGCCCCGCTGGACTGAGACTGCTCCGCCAGCCACTGTGCAGCGGCCATCTCTCCACGCGACTGCGCCGTTGCATAGTCGAAGGCAGCGAGCCCCCTCCATCCACCGACTGGACCACACCAAAGGGCCCAAGACCTCGAGGAGGGCTGGGGCTGGCGGCGATGAGCCGAGGAGGCGCGCCTCGGATATGATTGTTTTCCTCGACGCCCAACGCATGCGAGCGCGCCTAGCCGCTCTCGCCGCCACTCGACTCTGAGTGCTCGACCAGCCACTCAGCAGCAGCCAGGGGTCCTCGGGACTGCGCAGTAGCGCACCCGCCTTTCCAGCCGCCAGACCAGAAGAGCGCTGAAGTCCCCCCGACCCGCAGGGCATCATCCGCGAACCCCCTGCGGAACGCGTGGGTCCCCCAGTGCTGGGCGTTCTCGAAGTGCAACGCTGTAGCCGCCGCCCTGAGGAAAGCCAGCGCCTCCGAGTACCGTACGTGCGAAAACGGCCCCGGGCACTTCTCGGCCGCCTGCCGTAGCGCACACACGCCGCACAAGGATCGTGTCCTCCCGATGCAAATGCACGTGCGCGAC